CTTATCATACTGTACTTTTTTTTCCCCTACAAGAAAGGAAACCTTTTTTTGTATGTTTTTCTGAACTAATTCAACGTTCTGGAATGAATTATTCAAATGGTTTTGCTCACTTGTAAGCAAAGCTTTTAGTTCGTGTCTGTTATTCAAGACCTTCTAAAGGTCATGAACTTTCTTTTACATATTCAACAGATATATTTTTCATTGTAAATCTTGACTTTAAAACGCAAAACACAGTAATGTGTAAATAGGAAGTCTAAATCTTTTCATCTACAGGATCCTTCTAACTAAGGAGGGAAAGTGCATTGGCTTTTAATTTTTATAAATGGAATAATAGATCTCTCATGGGTATAATAAACTGATTTACCTGTGAAGCTTTTCATAAGATTTAATTAAAATTCCCTTTGCAAAGCAACTGAAATTTTGTTTGAAAGACAACACTTGCATTTTAAAATGTCACTTTTTCCCCTGGGCTGTAATTAAGTTTCATTTAGATGGCTCCTTTATATTTTCACTTTTCTTCTTGTGTTCATACTTACTATTGGATTCTGCCTTGGATCCCTTAGCTTAAAATAACAGGTTTTATTCTTGCAGCTGCAGAAACCCATGAACGGGCTTTATTTTTCACTAAGCCCTTATCTTGGACCTAGCTATTCATCTCCAGACATTAACCTTCTGCCACAGCATCACCAAAGTCTAGATCTTCATTCATGTAGATAAAGCCTGAACTCTAAATGTGCTCTATTCAGTTCAGAGAACTGCAACCTTCATTATTCTGGCCTTGAGAATTATTATATTTTCTATGGATCATATTGCCTCTGAATTCCTCTTCTTAGCTTGTTGTTTTGGGCTGCCTCTTTAGTTCATTAATGTACATAATTCTTAAATAATTCAGCAAATTCTTTTGTTTGCTTCTCCAATTCAGTTCTCAGCTGCAGGCTGGATAGAGCAGATCAGCTCAATATTGACTTCAACCTGTGTGTCATAGTCATGCCTCGGTTTCATTCCTCAACTATCAGCTTCTCCCACAATGACTTTCTTACTTAGTCCCGCCTTTCCTCTGTAGCATGAGAAACACTTCAGCAACCTGAAAAAGTCCTTGCTTATCCTCTTTCAAATCCCAATTTACAGCTCATCTCTACCATGATCCTTCAAAACCCAGATTTTGTGGTAGGGCAGATAATCTAAAACTATGTTTTCCCACATTTTTTTTGTTCCATGTAAAGTAATGCAATCTACTAAAATTTGTGCAGCTTACAAAGCTTTCTTGTTCCATATCTCACATTATTCATTTGCTTGAGTATTTTATAACTGTTATTTTTCCTTTTTCTACCTGCATTTTTAGACTGAAGTGCTTTGGGGGCACAGGAGGAAGGAGGTCCAAATATTTGCACCTCCAATATATGCCAATATTTGCTGCTATAGCTGTGTCATTGAAACTAATACACATAGTATATCTGACCAGTCCATTCATGTTAGATAGATTTATGTGACTGTGAGGAAAATGAGGTAGAAATGAGTGGATTAAAAAAAAGACCACTTGCTTCCCCCCCCCCCCTTTTTTTTTTTTGTGTGTGTGTGTATATAATCTGTGCTGGGAACTGCACCTTTAGGAGGTTTAGCATTTTGTATTGTACAGAGTCTGAAATTATTCATTACTGGCTAGTTAAAATATAGTCTTCTGTGGTTGCCTAATATTGAAAATAGGAGAACTATTATTGAGTCACATTATCTCTCTGAATACCAGCTCTTTATTTACACACTGGGATTTGTAAACGTTATAAATGTATGAAGATTTATAAATGCTTTGAGGGTGTTCTCTTTTGATGTGTATATATGACATAATCCTTGGGACAACAATGCCTTGTCTCAGTCAGGACATCGACGTACTCTTGGAATATAAATAACAAGTAAATAATTGTGCCACTAGTGTATACTTGACAAAACTCTTAATGACCATCTGAACATCCTCAGACATATCCCAGAGCAGTAATAGCTATCTGCAATGTGATGAGCTTGAAAACATTTTAGCAAGTCTGTTGCATCAGGAGTGAGTTTCTTCCCTAGAATGCAACTTGGAGAGTTAATATATATAATGTATATATTAATATAATATTTTATATAATACATATGTGTGAGTATGTCTATATAGATAGGTTTCTGAGCAGTTTTGTTCTGAATAATAACCCTCATTATACCCAAATGCTATTTCGCTTGCTATTTTGTTTGCTGTGGTGGCAGTCTGGCTTTACAATACAAAGGTCATCTTTTGATTCTGTGCTGAATAGCTAATATAATCTCTATTCAGAGGAATGCTATACTTTTTGTTTAGTTAGCCACCAGATTGTGCTTTGGTGTAATTTTCTCACTGGGAATTACATGTTTCTCCATCAACTGTCCTTTTGAATCTCATCCATTTTCCCCAAGAGGAAATGACGCATCACCTAAATAAGTGTGGCAGGAGTGAGGTGTTGGGTAATGCCTGATTAAGGTCTGATTTCCTTTACTTTGTGTAGTGACATATGGTGAGAAAAGTTCACTCAACTCCTTAACTGCAGGTGTGGTGTGCTCTTCCATTCTGTGTGGTTTGCATTATTGAGATGGGGGTATATCAGTCTTTAACTAAACTCCTCTCTTGCTGGAAGAAGGCCAGCTTGCACAAGTGAGGGATCTGATCTTTTATTCCTCATTATTGCATCTGATTCTTCAGTGTCACAGGCTTTCTATAGGTACATGTAAATCTGATGGCTGAACTAGGGTAAAGTACTTAGTGTCACCAAATCCTTAATTTCACAGCGCTTGACAAAAAAAATCTAAATATTTTAACTGGCATGCACTTGGACTGAGAGAATTAAAGGGCTGGTTTAGGCTGAGATTCATAATGTTCTGTATAAAACCTATTTGGTAGCAGGGAAAAGATCCAGGTAAAAATTGAAACCTTAAATGTATAATATCAGCCACTCTTATTAACTGCAAGAAACTAACAGAAAGCTGTTAAATCACTGACCACTGGGAAAAAAAAAAAAAAAAATTAGTGACTGTCTGGCACCAGCTGAAACACCTTTCTGTGTGAGAGGTGATTGACTTTCAGGGAGTGGAGACGCTGTCTACTTTAAGTAGATAAAGAAAGGTTATCTCTCTTCGTTAGGATACTTCCAATTCAGTGATTTTTTTTTTTTTTTAAAGAATAAGATAATCTTGAAAATGGTTTTAAAGATTTAGCCTTCATCCTTGAAAATTATGTGGGTGAGCCGTTTGACTACAAAATGAGACAATGCAGAGGGTTATGAAGATTATAATCACTTATATTTAGGCAGCTGATGAATCAAACTAGTCAAGCAGTCTAGTCCTTGAAGCATGCTTTTAACAAACTAATCACAAGGAAACTGGAATTGAGTGCAGCAGTTTTATTGAAAAAGTCCACAGGTGTGTGCAATTCCTTTATTAAAATGTTTTCAAATACATTGGACAAGGAGCAATTGATGATCAGGAGTTATTCCTTTTTTATACATTTTTATTTCCAAAACTATACAAACATTGGAAAACTTTCCTTTTCCTCCATTTTAGCTATTAATAATTCTGTAACGGTAAGTTATATATCTCCCTTTTCAATCCGCAAGCCCACTTTTCTGGAGGTGACATTTTACATCTTTGACAATTAAAAAAAAAGGTCAGTCATATTTACATGTGCTTAAGGTTGCATAATTGAGCATCATACAGGTTTTGAAAACCAGCAGATAAATGGTTTTCAAGATTCACCCAGGTGGGTTGAAGGTTTTAAATACACATAAACTGCATACATGTGATTTAGTAGCCAAGACACCCTTTGTTCCCTTTTATTTTCAAGGCTATCTATAAACTGTGTGCTAGCCAAGGTAAAGGCTTGTTTTAGTAAAGGTACTCACCGAGTGACAAGCAACACTGACAACAACTACTGCTGATCAAAGACGTGAATGGGCAGAGAATTGTATGTGTATATATAACACAAAATCTAATGTTTCAAAATGAACTTGAAGCTTTTATGTAAAAATAATGTCTAGAATAAAAGCTATCTCCTGGACTGGATTAAAGAATTAAAAAAAAACCCCACAAATATTTATGTAAGGAAAAAAGTAGAGCTCAACATGGGAAAAGAACAATAGAAGTACATGGATGAAATTCGGAAGCTGGTCTTGCAATGTATAATTACTGGAAATTTAGTTGAAATATAGTAACATTATCAATGGAAAATGAAGGCTACAACTGCAGCAGACACATACAGTATACTTTATGAGCTATTATATTGGCCATACAGATTTGTCTACATGTTATTTATTTGAATCCTTAAGGCTTCTCTAACGTCTTACATGAAAGTGCTGTCTGCTTGGATCTTCCATGCATGAGGGAAAGGGGTAATTTTTCAAGGAAAAAAAAAAATTGTCCACATTTCAATTACAATAGCACATCCAGAGACATAAAATAAAAGACAAAACTTTATGGTACCTTTGTTTCATTTATTTTGGCCCCCAAAAGATGCATGCACTAGACTTTATGTACTACAAGGTATTGAAATATTTACAGCATTATACATGTGCTCTTAAAGGGATGGCAAAGGGAAAGGTCTATTTTTATCTTGGTGGGAGTAGAAGTTACTTTCCTAGCTTAATAATACCTTTTCAAAGTGAGAGATGACTCTTCCAAAAAGAAAAGCCCACAGAGAATAAAGCTATAGCATAATTATAGCCAATGTTAACAAACTGTACACTGCTTTACCTGGGAATTCTCCTGTCTCTCACTCTTGTTTGAAATGGCAGTAATCAACTATTAAGTGATGTTGCCATGCTCCCCTTGTCCTGTCTGCTCTGTTTCTCTCTATTCCAGCAGGTATAGCTGTATATTACCTGTTTATGTGATTTTTATTTCAAATTATTTTGGCATGTTGAACAGACATTTAATTCACAATAACCTGATGGTGATTTTTGGACAAATGATATGATTGATCTTTACCGGGTTATGGCACTAAAGAATTCAGACCACTATAAAGCGTGTCGTAAATACTTCAAGTGGACTTACGAAACCATCTGTCTAAGAAATTCAGTGAGTAAGGCTCATATCACTGATTTCCTTCTGCTTTTAAAGGTAAAGATATGATACCCAATACACCAGGTTAAACAAACAGAAGGCAGTTGGGAAGAAGATGCGGGCATAGGAGTCCATTTTGGCAATGCGGATATGTATTCTTCCATGCCTCCATGCTCCCGTTCGACAATCCTCAAAGCAGCAAAAAAAACTGGCACAGTCCTTGCCATCAAGACACTCATACCCATATTCTTCATCCCTTTCTTGGAGGTGTGTAGCATTGTTCATTTGAATAGTAGCTGATCGAGGCCGGATGTCAATTGTAGGTGCCTAAGGTGGAGTGGCAAAAAAAGAAAAAGATGGCAGGAGGGAGAGACTCTGTTATTATCACCAGACCAACAGGGAGATAGAGACCAATGCTCGACATGTGAGTGATGGTTCTGCATGGGGTACATGGGAAATTGCTGAGGAGTTCTAATGGTAGTATAACCTTGAACTTATTAAAATCAATTGCATCATACACTTTAACTTTACAGGAAAGCAGCACAAATCAATATTAAGTTAACGGCTGTGGACAATTAGCTTTAAAGCCAAACTAAGTAAACATTAGAGGTTAAAGGAAACATTCAGGAATGTATTTGATGGTATTTTGTGTTTTATATTTTACATAGCTGCTTAATATCTGAAGGCAATTTGTGTATTGCACATGGAAGGAACTGAAATAATCAATTGGAAATGCAGGATTTTAATATAGGGCTGGTTCGTGTTGAGACAGGAGCAAATATATGCAGGAAAAAAGGCAAACCCTGGGTCTTTCAAATAAGGTTAGGAGAGTCTCTATAAGACTCTCAAATTGTTTGAATGTATGCAGTTCACTATCTACTAATGTTCACCAGCTAGAAGGTTCAACAGGTTCCAAATTTTAGATAGTAGCTGTACATATATATACACATATATATTTGGAATGAATTGGGCAAATTAAGTATTTAAAACGCATTTGAGCACTTGGCGAACACCAGGATGACAGGCATTG